CTTCCCCTCCCCCTTTTCTGATGAAGGGTCTAGGCCCGAAACGTCAGCCTCTCTGCTCCTATGATGCTGCTTGGCCTGCTGTGTTCATCCAGCCCTGCACCTTGTTGTCTCGGATTCTCCAGCATCTGCAGTTCCTACTCTCTCTGAAATGTTATTGCTCTGGTTTCTTGGTTGAGTTTTCCTGATGTCAAGCTTTTTTGGAAAGTTTGGTAAGCTGGGAGGCTGAATATTAATGAAGTGAGTTGGGCTGTTCACAAAGCATTTAACAAGCAAAAATGTCCCTTCATTTGCAACTCACTGTTGCCGTGCCACTTGCAAAAAGCAAAAGAGGTGGCATGAATTGCTTCTGATATCAAGATGGGCCTCATACTTGTCACCTGACTGTGCCACACGCCTCACCATAGCCTACGTTGCTCAGACCTGATAAGACTCCACACAGAATGTTTCCTATTAATTTCTATTAGAGCCCAAGAATTCCACATGTCTTCAACCCGGCAACTTAGTTGAGAGTGTGTCCTTTCCCCAGAATTAACACCAGGAGGTCAGCAGATAGAACATTTTTGTGGTGTCTCCCCCCATACTCCAAGGGGCTAACACCCCTCCAACATGCGAAACCAAGCGCACCATACATGACCTTGCCATGACTCCGATCAGTCCTTGGGCAAGAAGGGGAGCCAATCCAAGAATTCCCACTTCCCATTTTCCTTCTCAACATTGATGCTATTCTAACAGTTATGTTTAATGGAGAATCTTACAGGACAAGAGGAAGTTTAGGAGATGAAGTTTTGAAAAACGAGGGGTAGGGAGAAATACAAGAATCACAGGAATAGACACATTGTGGTGACGTTGAGATTGTTTGCCTGGAAGCAATTATGGAGACAGTAAAGGTTGAAACCATCAGCAGATTTAGAATTAGAGCTGAACGTTTTGAGACATTTGTGGACTGTGAATCATTGACAGAGAACCACCAAAGGGCTGATAGGGTGCAAATGTAAAATTTTTGATGACCTAATTTTTACATAGATTGGAAAATAGGAGGCTAACCATGAAAACAATGGAATAGCCAATTCTGTAATTAAGAAAGGGATGTTTTGGATTTTCAATGATATAAAGTGTAAGGGAGGATCAGAAATGGACAGTTTACAAAGGTGGAATTAAATGGTCTTTGTAATAGATAAAGGATTGTAAGTTCAGTTCAGGGGTGCATAGGATGCTGAAATTGCACATACTGCAATTCAGACAGAGATACTCTCTAAGAAGAGGGTCACACTGGTTTGCCAGGGTACTGAGTATGTAATGGAACGAAAGACAAGAGTTTGGGTCTTCAGAGCGTTTTGTTAGAAAGAACTATGGCTCATCCGAGAGTGAATAAGCACGGTGGCATCAAAGATAGGTGGTAGAAGCTGGCACTATGGCTGAGATGATGTTGTTAATTGGCAAAAATGAGTCAGGATGAGAAATCAGTAAAGGATTTATCCTTGGTGCAATCCAGAGGTGAAATCTATTTATTGATGCACTTGGTTTTACAAACAAAGTGGAAACACAGAAGTAAGTTAGTTGAATTTTGAATATTACATGTACTTTATTAGAAAGAAATTGCTGCATATGGAAATATCAATAATGCTGCAATAAATAACCACACAGATATTGTTCAAAACTTCACACCATTAGTCAATGGGTGCACAGATAAATAACATTTAACAATTTGTTCTATTTTATGTATACAAGGTACTGCATTGTGATGTAATCAAAGATACATGGCATAATTTGAAATGTTTATAGACTGCCTATTGATGCAAACTAGATTGAAAGATCATCTTGGTATGATTAGACAGTTTCATAGACACAACACAGAAGGTCTTTGAAAGAGCAAAGTACTTAGTTCTATACCCCCACTTTTTGACTGTAAACTAATTGTTCCTCATTGTCGAGTGTCTATCTGACTTCATTTTGAAATTATTATGGAAACAGCCTTTTCCCTGTTTTCAAGTTGAATGTCCAGATTTTAACAAGTTCCTGTAGAGAATTAGTGCAGATTCTTGACTTCCAATGTGAGAAATATTCATTGTGTTATTTTTAGGTAAATGTGACATCATCAAACTTCAAAATATACATTTACTGCCTGAAGCCATTTTATGAAACCCATTGGATATGACTCTTTCTTTCTCACACTCGATGGATTTAATTGCAGAGAAATGACATGGTGCAGTGCAAATACTCAGACTGTTTTGAGTTATAGAAAGAGGATAAGGATATGTTAGTGCTTTGGGATATTTGGCAAAAGGAGACAAAATATGCATTATATCTGGATACAATTTAAATCCATTTCTGATCACCTGCTTTGCCTTGTATGTTCATGTGATTCTGTTGACTGTTTTCATGCAGCTCACCCATTAATACCAAGTGTTTATATTCTCTTCCAGGTCAGCTCGCTGCAGGTACTTGTGAGATAGTTACACTGGACAAAGATAGCAGTCAACCGCGAAGGACTATAGCCAGACAAACTGCAAGATGTGCGTGTAAAAAGGGACAGATTGCTGGCACAACGAGAGCAAAGCCAGCCTGTGTGGATGGTAAGAATCTAATGCATATATTTGAAGCTTTACTTTGTTTTCCTCTGCTTTCTTTTCAATTTAACAAACAACTGGATGATACTTGATACTTCCAAGCTCTATTCCACTCAGAGATGGCAATCATTTCTGCTGTGATTGATAGAAAATAATTTTGGATGGGAGAGAAGAATTTACAGATTGGAATCTATCGTCAATTTTCCTGCCTGGGGTTGGCTGTGATAACTGATCAAGAGCACCTTTTCAGTCAGAAGCATTGAGGTCACCATTGGCAGTTGAAGCCCACATTTTCATTCACCATTAAAGCCAGCATCCTGTTCTATCCATTGAATTTCAAAAGGCATAAAACAAGTTACATTTTATGACTGAATGATTGGTGCTAGTTGTATAGTTTATTTTCATTTATGATGAAGAACACAGGGGGTTACACTGACTCTGTTAGGGTTTCTCCATTTATTTGTGTTTGTGGCTCAGTGGTTAGCATTGCTGCCTCACAGCACTAGGGATCCGGGTTCAATTCCAGCCTCGGGCAATTGTCTGTGTGGAGTTTGCACATTCTTCCTGTGTCTGTGTGGGTTTCCTCCAGCTACTCCGGTTTCCTCCCACAGTCCAAAGATGTGCAGGTTAGATGGATTGGCCATGCTACATTGGCCGTGGTGTGTAGATTAGTTGGATTAGCAATGGGAAATGCAGAGTTACAGGGATAGTAGGGGGTGTGGGTGAGCCTGGGTGGGATGCTCTCTGGAGATTCGGTGTGGAATTGTTGGACTGAATGACCTGTTTCTTTTCTTTCAAAAATCCATTTACTGCTACATTTGATTTAGAATGAAAGTGGAAACACAGAAGTTACTTTGTTGAATTTTGAATATGTGGAGTACATTAGTAAGAAATTACTGCAAATGGAAATATCAATAATGCTGCAATAAATCACCACACAGGGATATTGTTCAAAACTTCACATGATCAGTCAATGTGTACACAGGAAATATTTAGCATGTTATTCTATTTTATGTTATTGGAGGTCTTGCACAGTGATGTAATCGGAGGTCCAAGGTGTAATTTGAAATATTTATACACTGATGTAGCTAGAAGCACACTGCTTCATTCACTTTCTTGGCTGTGGCATTGGCCTGCTGGAGGAATTGGCAGTAGCGTCTGTGGATTGGTCTGACTTTCATTGAATTCTTGGTATCAAGTTATAATGTGCCATCTCATAGAGGGAGACAGTTCAACCCACCACAATTTTTCTACTTGGTTTGAATAGTTAATAGGAAAATGTCATGGTAGCAGAGAACCAACAACATCCCACACCGACAGTAACTCAGGAACTTATTGGAAGGGCTGAATCAGCTGAATGCGCCGATGTTGCTGCATTTTTTGTTGCAGATTCTTGGGCTTCTTTTTTAACCTCTTATCCCATATTCTCTACCCAACCTCCCATTACCTCCACTGCAGAATGTAGCAGTTCTGTCTACTCACCTCTGATACTTCTGTCTCCTTTGATTTCCTTCACCCCTCCCTCCTGATTCTTCCTGCATTGAATTCTGATCCCATGTCTCCTGCCCTAACCGTGGGTAGGGATGGCTGGAGACTGATTTCTGGTGGCTGCTTGCTTTTGGGTTGGCAGGCTGTTGTTTGTGGATTGATGAAATTTGGCACTTGACTCCTGTCCGGCTCCATGCTGGCTTTCGCTGTTTGTGAACTTTACTGGGTTTGAGTAGCTCTTCGTTAGTCGTGGTTTCTGATGGCTGAATGCAAAATAGTCTTATCTGACTGCAGGTTGGTTTCAGGGAGCTAGCTGCTGGTGATGGCTGGTTATGGTTTGTTCTGTGCTGGAGGTATATACAAGACTTTCAGTGGCTGGTTGTCTGGTTGTGGTTGATAGCCTGTTGACTGACTGCAATTACTTTCTATTTCCAGTGGCTTCTGCTTGTAGCTAGATTACAAACTGGTCATGCGAATTAGCTATTTAGTGGTTAATATCACTCAGGCACCAGGGAGCATGGTTTACAGAACTTGTGTGTTATGTTTTTTGGACCTAATGGTGCAGTATGCACATCATAAAGCTTTCCTCTGCCTACTATAGGTGCGTATAATATTAGTGTAGCTCAGAATATTGGAGGTTCCTAGAATGAAGTGTTGAATATTTTAAAATTATGGCATATTCCCAAATCTCTCTCGAGAAAAAATCTTCTCTATGATCTACAGTACAGTAACATACATTTTGAAAATTAGCATAATACTACAGGTTATGCATTCAACAAGGATATGTATTTTGTCAGTATTGTAATTACTGAATTAAGCTCTAACATGTGATGGTGATGTGTGGGATTTCATAATGAAAATTCAAAGTAATACATTGAAGAACGATGGTAACTGTTCTAAGCCTTTCATTACTTTGCTAAGTTGTTTATGAAGCATTGACATGTGTAATCATTGTTTTATTTTTCTTCTGAAGAAATATTGTTTTATCATACTTTAGAAATTCAATGTTGATATAAAGCTGTGACCTCAAGTTTGCTTCGCAATAACAGCAGTGTTCCATTTAACGCTTCGGTCAGCTTTTAAAGAGAAAGCATCATATCTATAAAATTGTTAATGCAAAGCTACTTTCTGTTGGATTTGTTATTGGCTGACAGAATTGATGTTATAGTGCCTGATGGCTAGCCACAACATAGGTTGAAGTGCTTGGAAGTATTTTGCAAAAGCAGATGAGGGGGAAGAAAGCTTTATGCTCTACTAACCAAACTGTTTCTATGAAATCAGAGAAGCCCCTTTTATCCTTCTGGCTCCACAAAATTGAATTATGAACTTACCGATCAAAGTCTCCACTGGGCAACATCCACAGAGTGGAATCATTTGTTTGTAGGCTGTTAAAATGACTTGAGGGTCCTGTCAGAATCTTCCACAAACCAAGAGGTTTCTGGTTGAGGTCGGAGGATGCCTCACCGTATTCTGCAAATTAGTGACAGGGCTGCAACAGAATGGTTGTGTTTTGGCTGGATGAAGAGAATTAAAGTCCTCTTCTTAAAATGTTTAGGAGATAGTTAAATGCAATAAATTTATTTTATTCAATTTATAACGAATGTAATGACTCAAGTTACCATCCAAGACAAAACAGTCCACTTGATTGGCACCCCGACTGCTGCCTTCAACATTCACTCCCTTCACTACTGACCCACAGTAGCAAAATGTGTACACATTCAAGTTGCACCTTTGCAAGGCTCCTTTGACAGCATCTTCCAAACCCATGACTTTTATCATCTAGAAAGTCAAGGGCAGCAGATACATGGGAACTCCACCAACTGCAAGTTCCCCTCCAAGCCACACACCACCCTGATTTGGAAATATGTCTCTGGTCCTTCACTGTTTCTGGGTCAAAATCCTAGAATTCCCTTCCTAAGCACTGTGGGTGGCCCTAGACTATAAGGTCTGAAGTGGCTCAAGAAGGCAGCCCACTACCACTTCTTCCAGGTCAATTATGATAGACAATACATGCTGACCCAGCCAGCGAAGGCCTCATCACATGAATGAATAACAATTTAAAAAAAATCAATGTGTTTTCAAACTATCCAACTTCTTTGGGCTGGATTTTACCAGTGCTGTGATAAGCCAAAGGCTGGAGAATTTGTAAAATGGTGACAAAAGGTTTCCCTGTATTCCCACCACAGTGCAGCAAGACATCAGGTAAACTAGGGCTAGGACGGGCACTTTATGATCCTCTCTTGGCAAAGGTTCCTTCCTCTGATCCAACATCACCGTTTTGATCACTGAACCTACCTGGTTAAAATATTATTTCCCACTAATGACAAGTTGTGTCTTTAAGAGGAACTTGTTCTGTCCTGTTTTCCTTGAAGAAAGGTGATGTAAACCTGGTTCCGAGATGTCTGCTCTGTGGAAAGCAGAGTAAACAGCTCTTTTGTTTTAAAGTACACAAAAGAAGTATGAGTGGGTGGAGTCAGGCTCACACAGACACAGGGTTTTAGTTTTCATTTTCTGTTGTTGAGGTCGGGGTTAAAGGTGATGGATACAGCTCTCTCTCTCTCTGCTGCCGCAAAAAAAAACTTGAGCTCTGTCTCTGCTGCTAGATTCATTCTTTTTTTTTTCCTTTCTCCTGGACTAGAGTGAATCTATTTTGCTCAATTTGCCAAGGGTGTATTTATGGGTTGCTGCTATATTGCAACAGTTAATGAGTGGTAATTAAATAATATATTATTTTGTTAACTATTTTGACAAAGTTAACATTATGCCAATTTTTTTTGTTTGTATTTTAACTGTGGTGTAAGAATAAAGTGTATTTTACTTCAAACCTAGTAGTTTGACCAATCAAATCTCATCTGGAACTCAGCGCCTTACACTTGCCTTTAAATACGATAAAAGTAATGGTCTAGGCTATCTCCTTGGTATGTTTTGAGGGAGTTTGTTCTGGACCATAACAAACTGATCAAGCATGCCTCAATATCATGGTGCCCTGTCATTCTGGAGTTGCCCCTCAATAATTTTTTGACACTTTATTTTATTTTATTTGCTGACATTGACAAGGCTATTGAGTTTCCAGCCTCCTGAATAAGCCTGCGGCTCTAAGAGACTGACTACAGAACATAATTGTATCATGGTCCCAGTAGTTGATTGAGGGCAGCTTTACCAACTGTAGTCAAAGTCCTGCCAATCACCTACATCAGTTCCTGGAATCTCATAAAATTTCAGCTTTAATTTTGTCACTGTGTGTCTGCTTTTGATGTTCTTCTCTCAATTTTTTTCTGCTTTGCTCCTTTGAGCTGCATCCATTGCTGAAGTATAGCGCAATGGGTTTCTTAAAATCCTATATCACCTCATCAAATAACTGTCTTCTGTCAAATATTTTGTGCTGGAACTAAATTCCATCAAAGGCAATGTCACTCCAGCACATTGTTCAAGTAATTATTGTCCATTTGGACACTTAGCCTGTGTCTGCGATTTATTCAACATGATGAGCAATCCAGCCAAGCTGAATTCTGTTCCCA